CCACGACGACCACAGCGCTGCTCGGAGGATGCGGAGGACGAACCAGAGGCCGAGGCGTCAAACAGGCCTCCGAGGGAAGCCATGCCGTCCTTCTGCGGGATACGCCCGCCATCGGGTCTGCGGGTGTCCGCGTCGCAGCGCACGGCCAGCGCTTCCAGCTTGTCCCACTTGAAAAGCCAGCCTGCAGTTACTGGCTCACTCCTGTACCACCTGCATCACTACATCGACGAGACTGGCTGACAACCCAACACTATAAATGTCGACCGCGAAGGTCAGCTCGCCGGCAGAGTAGCCCTCCGTCGCCAGCAAACCCCTGGTCTGCAAAACAATCGTTGCATCGTGCATCCGGACTTGCATGACGACCGAGAATAAGAACGGTGGGACAGGGCACCCTTCTGAGATTCCGAAATCCTGCTGGCGCGGGCCAGACGTCGCACTCACATCCCGAACGAACTCTGGCAACTCGACATGTGCCCTTCGCCGGCACGACCTCTGCAAAGAAGCCGGGGGCACCGAGCCGTGTGAGCGTCTGCCCCAGGGCGTCTGGCGCTGGCGACACGCTGTCGAAAGCGAGTCCAGTCAAACGCAGGGGTAACTAGCTTGCCTGATTGCTGTCTCGAGCGTCCTCAATACACACTGCGAAGGCAGAGCTGCTGCCCGGCGGCTCTCCACGCGGATCACGTTCGGCAAGTGGGACCGCGGACAGGGAGGTAAGCCGACCTGGCCGCATTGCTGCGGCAGTGTTGGGTCGAAAGGGCGGGAGCCCACCTTGTAGCAGGTAGTTTGGTGATCAACGTCGTGGTCTAATCATGCGCTTGCGATGGCAAGCCCATGCCATCGCTGACGCAAAGCTCGAGTAAGGGACGCCTGTGGAACTCTTCGACAACAAAGGGCGCGGGATGGTATGAAAGGCAGGAGGAAGAGAGGCAGCATGCGGGGGAGGGGAAGGATGAGGGATAGTGAAGGGCCTGAGACGGAGCGACGGCAGAGAAGGGGGTCAAGTGGTCTCGACAGCTCGTGGGAGTTGCGGCCACCGCTCCGAGCCCAGCCCTGCTTGGTGTCAAGGTCGGCATCCCTGCAACAGCTGGCCTCGATGGGTTCGCAGCTGATTGGGGTGAACGGGGCAGGTCCCAAGGATCCCCCAAAGATCTAGTGCACACCCCGAGCCGCTTCTTCTTGACGGCCCCAGGGCCCCCGACAGGGCCCCCGGGGAAAGCAACAAACTGCGAAACATCGAAAGGCGCGCGTTCCTCGCGACCCGTCTGCTTCATAGCGTGGCCACAGGGGAGGAGGAGGACGAGGAGGAGGAGGAGGAGGAAGAGGAAGAAGAGGAGGAGGAGGAGGAGAAGGAAGAGGAAGAAGAGGAGGAGGAGGAGGAGGAGAAGGGAGAGGTGTGGCAAGAGAGGCGGAACGCACACGTCCTCCGAAGCGCTTCTGGCAACACATGGGACCTAAGATGTGCTGCTGGATAATGAATGGGAGCTGGGCTTTTTCACAGGATGGGCCTGGCGCGATAACGCCCAGTTTGGAAGTCAAGATGTATACGCCCTGGCATGGCAGGAGTTGGGCGAGGGGGGCCCTTAGATGTGCTCAACTGTTCGTTGCCTGCAGCGACAGCACATGCCTGCACGAATGGTGAGATGTGGAGAACGAGGCGGAGGCGTGGCAGGAGAGGGGCGGGAGCAAGAGACTCCAGAGACTCTGACCGCTGCGTGGCGACATCGTCGAGGCCAGAAGCAAGTTGCGGCGGGAGAAGGAGGGAGAAGGAGGACGAGGAGAGATAGATGGCAGGAGGGGAGGAGCAGGCACAGCAGGAGTAGGAGCAGGAGGGAGAGGAGGACGGGGAGGAGGAGGAGGAGAAGGAGGAGGAGGAGGTGGAGCAGGAGGAGGAGGAGCAGGAGGAGGAGCCGGAGGGAAAAGATGGGAGCATGAGCCAAAAATCAGGAGCAGGAGGAGGAGGGGTAGGGGGAGGAGAGCATGAGATCTAAGTGCAGGAGCAGGAGAAGGATGGAGGAGGGGGATAAGCAGGAGAAGGAAGCAGAGGGAGGGAGAGGGAGAGGGGAAGGGGGAGTAAATGAAGGAGGAGGAGAGGAGGATGAGGAGGAGGAGGAGGAGTGAGGACGACGAGGATGAGAGCAAGAGCAGGACAGTAGCAGTGAGCAGATGGGGGGGAGATGGAAAGAGGGGCGCGGCGCCCGCGGCGACGGACGCGGGCCCGGCCCCCTCGAGCCCCGAACGCGGCGGCTTCAGGGGGGGGATCGAATGGGCCGCCACTCTCTGCTGCGCTCCTGCGCTCTGGGCCGGCAGGTGGGGGACGAGGAGTTCATGCTTGCTTTCGGGCTTCAAGGGGCGGGGACGAGGAGAGAGGGAAAAAGAGGAATAGGAGAAAGAGGGGAGGGCGGAGGAGGACTAGGAGGAGGAGGAGGAGGAGGAGGAGGAGGAGGAGGAGGAGGAGGACGAGGAGGAGGCGGGAGGAGAAGGAGGATGAGGAATATGAGAAGGTTCAGGAGGAGGAATCCAAGGAGGAGGAAGAATGGGAGAAAGAGGAGGAATCCAGGAATTCCAAGGAAGAGGTGGAATCCAAGGAATAGGTGGAGGGAGGGGAAGGAGAAGGAGGAGGATGATGGGGAGAAGGAGGAGAAGGACAAGGAGGAGGAGGAGGAGGAGGAGGAAGAGAACGAGGAGGAGAAGGAGGAGGAGCAGGAGGAGGAGGAGGAGGAGAAGGAGGTAGAGAAGGAGGAGGAGGAGGAGGAGGAACAGGAGGGGAATAATAGGAAAGTGAAGGAGAATAGGGGTAGGGAGGGGGCGGAGGGAGGGCGAGAGAGTGAGGGCAGGGTTGGTTGCTTGGTTGGTGACCTCCCAGCGAGGTGGCATGCTGGTACTGCGGGCTCAGCCCCTTTATTGAGAGCTGCGGGGCCCAACTGGCGACCGACGGCAACCCCACAACGTCAGCCCAGGGATGGATGAGACCACTCTCGGGAAGCAGCTCTGGGAGAGAGCGGCGGGGGTACGCGGACTCGCGTGCCACCGTGCCCAAACCTGCCTCCGCATCCAAGGTTCCCTTCGGGGAGGCGCCGGGCAAGCGCTAGATTTGGGTCTGCCTGGGAAGGGGGCATCAGCGGCCCTCCGGCAGGGATCCTCGCTCTTGTGATACAACAAACAAGTGGTATAAAAAAAAACAAGTGTGATAAAAAACTTGTGTTTTCTTTATCAACTTGATTTTTGGTACCACACTTGAGAAGGATGAAGCCAAATCCGCTCAAAATCGGTCCCCCCGGACCCCTCCTGGGGCCCAACGGATGCAGCGCTTCACCCCAGGATCCGCCTTCGACGGCCCCAGGGCCCGGAAAGGACCTCGTAGACCGCACAGAAGACGAAGCACATGTCGAGCCTCGCACACCGAAACTGACCCCCCCCCTTCCTGCTGCCCAGGGCCCGCAAAGACCCTCGGAGACGGAACAGAAGAAGAAAACGTGTCGAGCCTCGCACACCGAACCTGCCCCCCCCCCCCCCTTCCTGCTGCCCAGGGCCGCAAAGACCCTCGGAGACCGAACAGAAGAAGGAAAACGTGTCGAGCCTCGCACACCGAACCTGCGCCCCCCTCTTCCTGCTGGCCAAACCCAGTGCTGGGCCACCCACCCCAGACCCCCAGCCGACTCCACGGTGATATTGTTTTGCTTTCCGGGGTAACGGTCGTTACCCGGGGGAGGGGGAGGGGATTGGGCGGGAGGGTAATGGTAACGGCGGCCGCGGCGTGCACCCGCCAGCATTAATCGCCAGTGCACACCACAGCATGCAGGGGAGGGTCCAGGCCCCCCCCCCCAGTACGATTCTTAGCGTTACCCTGGGGGGGTGGATCGGCCTGGGTAGCGAGCTTTATACCCTGAGGAGGAGCAAACAAAAACGCTCACATGGTGATCTGAAAGCCAGGGCAAGCGCGCAGCAGTGGCTTGCAGACCCGGGCGGGGCCCTCTCAGACTGGCGACAGGCCCGCAGGCCAGGGACGGGGCTCCAAGGGACAGGGCTCCCGCAGGCCGCAGGCCAACTGTTGCGAGAGCTTCTTGGGCCCACCCTGCGGGTCACGCCGCTGGTCACCGCCCCGCGCTCACGCAGGGGTTCGCCTCCCTCCTCCTCCCTCCTCCTCCTCGTCCCCCCTCCTCCCCCTCCTCCCTCCTCCTTCCTCCCCCTCTCTGCTCCTCCCTCCCCCTCCCTCCTCCCTCCTCCTCTCTCGTCCTCTCTCCTCCTCCCTCCTTCTCCATCCTCCTTCCACCTCCTCCTCCTCCTCCTCTCCTCCTCCTCCTCGTCCTCGTCCTCCTCCTCCTCATCCTCCTGCTCCTCCGCCTCCTCCTCCGTCTTCCTCCTCGTCATCCTCCTCGCCCTCCTCCTCCTCCTCATCCTCCTCCTCGTCCTCCCCCTCCTCCTCCTCTCCCTCGGGCGGCGGTGAGGATCCCCAGGCACAAAGTCCCCAAGCAGCCCCAAGAAGACGTCCCAAAGAGGCCCCTGGAGGCCCCCCAACAGGCTGCTAGGAGGGTCCAGACTCCCATACTCTGCACGTTCCGCACGCGCCCCCCCGCGCAGCGAAGGGAATCCACGGACCGGGGACAGCCGGTGGGAGGAGGGAGGAGGGAGGAGCTGGGGGGAGCTGGGGGGAGGAGGGAGGGCGCGCCTGTCTGCGCACCCGCGCCCGGCCCAACGAGATCGCGGCTGCGCCGACCCTGGCACCGCGAGGCGCCGGGAACACGAAGCCGGTGCCGCCCCAACTTGGCGGCGAGTCGCGCCGAGTCTGCACGACAACGGGACCCCTCGCTAATCCACGCGGCTCAGCCCATATCTGCGTTTCCTCCTGTGCCCACCGAGCGCCTCACCTTCGGAACCCGCGCGGCGGCCTCTGCTGCATCGCACCCACTGCGCTGCTTGGCGCTGGTCGCGGCCGAGCGCCGTGGAAAGCCCGGCCTGCGGCTTTGCGCCAAGCTGGCCCCTCGTACTATGATTGCTCGTGCTCATGCTGCTCCTCCTTCTGCTTCCCCCATCTCCTACCAGGTCTCTCCCTCCCCATCCGAAGACGCCCAAGAAAGCGAGCACGAGGACGAGGACGAGCAGTACGACGACGAAGACAAGTACCTGAAGGGCGAGGACGACGAGGAGGAGGAGGACGACGACAAGCAGGACGCCGCCCCGGACCAAGGAGGACGGCGAGAAGGAGGAGGGCGACGACGGCGAATGCGACGACGTCCTCCGCCACGCGAAGGGCCAAAAAACGCCCAAGCACCGCAGTCCTCCAAGCCTCGAGGCCGCGAAGACGCTGCCGGCAGCGGCGGTGACGGCGACGACGACATGGCGACGGCGGTGGCTGCGCGATGGGAGCAGCAACAGCAACAGGAGCGAAAAGCCCGCTAGGGCCGCCGGCGGACTGTCCCATGGCGCTCCGGATGAGGTTCCCGACCTCAGAGTGCGCGGCCCCGCCGCCTCGGCCGTCGTCGTTCGTGCCTCCTTCTTGATGGACCGATGTTCCACCACCACTACAATAGGGAGGAGGGGGGGGGAGGGGGAGGGGGGAGGTGGAGGAGGAGGAGGAGAGGAGGAGGAGGAGGAGGAGGAGGAGGAGGAGGAGGAGGGGGAGGAGTGGACATGTGCTAAACATTTGTTGCTGTGGATATATGTATATATAAATATGTGTGCGAATGTGTGTCTATGAGTATACATTCGCATGTATTTTTGTGCATATATACGTATGTCAATACACGTATGTCTGTATACGTGTGCACAGATTTGTATACCCATGTGAATATGTACACACATAGGTGCTGCTCCCTTCGTGCTTTGCAGGACCCTACCCCTCCTGTGGTGTGGGGGGGAGGCTGGGGATGGAGATCGGTCAGCAAAGGATGCTGACAAGCGTAGGTGGGGATTTATCGGTAACCACCGCCCGGGGGTCCAATCTTCTTGAACCTCGACAGGCGGTGGATATGAACATACTTGCCCGAACATACCCGTAACCACCGCCTGCCGAAGTCCCGGAAAATGCATCCCCTAGGCGGTGGTCATCATCATTCCCCGCCTCGGACTGACACCCGAACTCCCCTCCCCCCCAATTCCCCATACCGGGGAGTATGACAAACTCACATCCCAACGTTGTGGGGTTTTCGATTGGCCGGACAAGTTGGGACCCAATTCGGGGATCTACAAGATGGGGCGTCCATCCTCGATCATAGTGCGTCCGGATAGCCCCCTGGGGATGTGTATCCCAGAGGTTCCCCCTTCTCGGAGTGGCCGAATGCTTCGGGCTGAGAAACACAGTAATCGCGCTGGGAAGAAAGCGCTTGGAAAGTACAGGGCACCACTGCGCAAGAAACACAACCGACATACGCGAGAACACAGATGACGGCGCGAGCATTGGATAAAGAACCCTCAGATAAGGATACAGGGTCTGAAACCTTGTGTAACAACATTTGAAACCTGGCCATTGTTATCACCACCGCCCTCATGAGAACAGACATTATCGAGGGTGTGACGCCTCCTGGACACACTCCTTAACGAACGCCACCGCCGTAACTCTCGCTCTGGCGGGCGGAACTCGAGGACTGGGGGATAAACATCGCCTGGCACCCCTTGAGCAAAGACCGACCGTCCCGGCATTCCGATAGGCCTGCCACGACATGCCCCAAAAGAAAATAATTTGCAACGAGCGGCCCAAGGTTCTAAACACATGAAACCGATGTAGTCAGACAAGACAATCGCAGCCAGACATGCTCTCATAATATTTCTCGCAAACCACACAACATTCTTAGATCCTTCTTTGGTGAACCTGTAGGCTTATGTTGCTCCCATCGTACTTAAGAGCCATATCCCAGAGATAAGATCGAGCAGCCGAAAGTGTCGAAAGGGTGTCGACATAGTGTCGAACGAGTGTCTCCCAGGGCCCGACACGTAAAGACCCTCGAGTTTTCAGTATTTGCTTTTACTGCTCGAAATTATTCCTGGCGGTCCAGGCTAAAATAAGTTGGAACATCATATCAAAAGTCGGGCGTTGACATAACTAGATTTAGTGGGACCTGGTTTAGTGATCACCCCTCGCCCCGTTCCGCTAACCCGAACTGCAGTCACCCGAAAAAACACCAGCCACGGCAGACCTGGATTAGTGACTCTGGCCAGTTTGGGTGCTCCGGGGCCCTAATTACTACTAGCCAGGTCCCCTTACCTGCGGGTCCTGGCTCGTCCACTGCGCTGGGTGCAGTTCGCGTTGACGTGCCCCCGGAGGGAAGGGCGTGTAGGCAATGCCCTGGGCTGCCCTGGAGACTGAGACCTCAGGCCAGCGGGGCTACAGTCGAGGTGCTGCGAGAAGGAACGCAGAATGAACAAGAGAAACCAAGGGGCTGTCCCGGCCACGGCGGGTCCAAGCCCCAAACAAGCTCCACGACAGAAATCTACGGAACGGCTCGGAAACCCGTGCCCCTCGAGACCAAAGAAGTCCGTACTCCAGCGTCTTGGCTGTACCGCTGGGGACCGTCTGCGCGCAGCCCCGGGCCCCGACAATCCTCTAAGGCTCCCGGCCCCCAGGGAGTTGCCGATCCCTGCGAGGGCATTCACCCACATCGGGATGCCCTGCCCGCAGAGCCGCTTGCAGAGGGCGTCCGAGAAGTGGTTGCAGTTCCTCCCCGGGGCCCTCATCCTCGTCCTCCAGCTCGTCCATGCTCTCATCCTGCTCTCTTCTGGCCGCCCGTTGCTTGCAATACGCGTCGCCTCTGAGGACTCACAGTGCGCAGACCTCTGAGGAGCTGGACCGCTCCTCTTCCTGCTCCCCTCCGTGTCCCACCTCTCCTGCCCCCTTCAACCTCCTCCTCCCTCTCCCTCTCCTCCTCCTCCTCCTCCTCCTCCTCCTCCTCCTCCTCGTCCTCCTCTACCCCGCTGCCTCTCTCGATCCACCCTCCTTACTACAACAGTCCGAACGCGCGGGCTGCAATGCATGTGTTTTTGGCTGGCATTAGGCGGCATCGTAGGGCGTGTTGAGCAATCTCGGAACACATCGGGCTCAGCCGGCGACCCATTGGAATGATAAGCCCGCATCAAAGGCCGTCTGGGGGCCGTCTCAGGACGTATCATCACAACCACGTGCATCAAGTATTGAGTCTTGCTTTGCACATAACACGTGTTAGATACAGACGAACGTACAGCTGTTTAGCATGTGTGCGCAAGCGTGTACACATAACCGTACGACCTACATTTCCCCACACATACAACTACGAATACATGTCCACACATGTATACACGCATGAAACTGCACATATGTACACGCATAACCTAACTCATAACCGTATGATGACCGCGTAATGTATGCACGTGCTCGCTTACTCTTGCAGGCGTGTTCACACACGCAATACCATCGCACTGCATCGGCGAGCGAGTGGTTATGTGATCACCCTATATGAATATACATGTAGGTGTGCAATGGGGCAAAGATGTGCATGCGCAAGCCGCACGCATATACATCTCTAGTTGCTTGCAGCCCAAGGGACACCAATATGGCATCAATGTTAACCCTGCGAGGACCATGGGAAAGTCAAGGAAGCCACCCATCGATGCTGCAGTAGGCCCCAGGAAACCATCCCACGACGTCCCAGGACACACCAGGAGCGAAGGCGCCCAGGAACAAGCAAATAAACACACACACACACGAATCCCAGGATCCCCTATCGATTTCCAAATGCGCTGGGTGTTTGTTATCCCCCCCCACTTCCCATATGTTCCCATCTTGTCCAGGGAATCGACGATTGCTCGTGTCTGTGTGGGTTGTTTCCTCTCCTGGAGGAGACCACGCCGCAGAGGGCCCAGGAAGCTCCAGGAGCCGCCCCCCACGAAGAGGCCCCGTGGAGGCCGCGACGTATGGAGGTCGCACGCCGTGCTGCTGCTGCTCCTCCGCGGCGCAGAGGAGCAGACTGTGCTTGCAGACGCGAACAGCTCCGCTGTGGGCTGTCGCCGCCCTCCTCCCTGACCGGGTGCTGCCAGACGCGCCCCTGGCCCAAGGTGCCCCCAGGATTTCCGATTTCCCAGCAGCCCCCCCACGGCCTCCAGAGCACCCCTCACGAGGCCCAGTGGGCCCCAGGGGCTCCAGAATGGAGCGAGAAGGTGGGGCCACCTTGGGCCAGGGGCATCTTTAGCAACCCGGGATCCTTGGGTGGGGGGGGAATGCGGGGAGGGTCGGAGAGAGTCGAAGGGGGGCGCACAGTCGGGCCGCTGAAAGGGACGCTAAATAGGGAACGAAGCCCTTTCTTGGCCCTGTAAGCGCCTCCGTGCCCCACGAGGGCAAGAGGAACAGCACTGGAGGAATCTAAGAAACATCGAGCCCCTTCCGAACCCAAACTGTTCCTTATTTCAGCGTCTTGACTGCACTCGAGGAGGAGGGGGACGGTGTTCCCGCAGCGCCCGCCACCTGCTTAAGTGGTTCGCTGCTTCGCCTGAGTCGGCGACTTTCTTTTTGCACGTCGCGCATCAACGATCTCCGGTCCATGTCTGCACAACGTCAAAACGCAGGACGGTGTGGAAGGGGTGGAGAATGGGGGGAGGCGATGAGGAGGGGGAGAGGAGGCCCCAGGGGGCCGCTGGAACCATGGGGCTCTGAGACAACCGAAAAGCCTCAGGACCCCCCACCCCCAAGGCCCCATGGAGGCCGCGACATGGAGGTCGCCAACCGCGCGATCGCCCTGTGAAATCATGGCGCAACGGAACACTGTCTCACAACAAACATGTTTCGTTGCAAGCGTTCGCTGCTTTCCTCCTGGGAGGGTGGTCGAAAGGGGGGCGCGCTCGAGGAGGAGGAGGAGGAGGAGGAGGAGAAGAATAATAAGAAGAAGAAACATAATAACAAGAATAATAATAAGAAGAATGATAATAATAAGACGAACATAATAATAAGAAGAAGAAGAAGAAGAAGAACGAGGAGGAGAACGTGAAGCCCTGGGAGGCGGCTGGAACCAGGAGGTTTCACGACGACCCAAAGGCCTGTTCGGCCGAGCCGTCCCACCTCCCCCTCCCGCTCTGCCTTCTTCTCCCCCCCTCTCCCGGGTCGACGTGACTCTGGGGGGGTTGTGCGGCACTTTCGTGTCGTGACGATCGCGGCGCTGGATTCCTCTGCAGTAGGAGCTCGACCACAAGAAACCCTCCACAAGAAACCCAACCATGAGATCCCAGGACGTCCATTAGTTTCTGTTGTGGGAACGTCACGCCTTCCATTGCAAAACCATCGAAACCCAAGAAACCCAGGGCACCCTGGAGGCAAGCAGGGTGTTTCTTGGCATGGGTCTCCACTGTACGACACCGCGTAGATACCACAAACCGTGGAGGAGGAGCAGCAGCAGCAGCAGCAGCAGCAGCCCACACCTCCTTCGACCTGGACAGCATCAAGGAGGTAGTCTTTCGCCGCCTTCGGCCGCCGGGTGCTAGCATCCGGGCTCCAGGATGCAACTTGACGGCGCGCGCCAAGAGGGGGAGGCGCGAGGGAGGCGGGGCCTTCTGCGCTGGCGGGGGGAGCTTCTGACCTGGGAGACACGCCACCCCACATCACCATTCAGGCCCCGCCTGGGGTGGGCGGGGGAGCGTGCAGAGCCAACCCGCCACCGCGGTGCACTGCTGCTTCGCGACCACACCGTTTGATGGATCGCGTCTACGACGCCAGGAGGAACCCGTCCTTCAGAGGCGCACCAGCCCGCTGAATTCCCTCGCGCAGATGCGATGCACGAAGCATGCGGGCGCCTTGAAGCAAGTGGCCACGAGAGCCCGGTGCATCCAGTCTGTCCGATTCCAATGCCAGCTGGCAGCTATCGCCCAGGAGGGCCCACGCCGATCTGGCGATCCGCACGGGGACCCGCCTGGCGCCGCACTGGGAGCAAAAATTCTCCGAACCACTCGGATGCGGCCCCCGTGCGTGCGAAATTGTACGGGTGCCCCATCGATTTTCTCGAGTTCTGGCGCTGGGTCCGTGCGACTCCAACCCACCATCCTCTGGCTTCCCGGGCGGCTTCCTGGAACTCGATCGCCTGAGTGCTTGCTCGGTGGTCGGTTTGCTTCACCTCACTGCACCTGTTCGGCGCCATTAGGCGGTGGCGACGTTCCCCCTTCCGCTGCGGGCTTCCCCCCGCCCCGCCGAGAGGCGCACCACGCCTCTTCCTCGCACCTGGTCGGCGCTCCTCCTCCCCCTCCCCCCTGCCTCGGCGCCGCCTGCTGCGCGCCGCCCCTGGCGCCTGCCGCCCCACCCGTCGGCACACGGGTGGGGCGCCCTCCTCCCTCCGACCAGCCATAACTGGGGGAGCTGTGGTCCTTACCCCCCTGGGGGAACCCATCGCAGCAGCCGCCGAGCGCCGGGGCGGCGGGGCAGGCCACGCCACACGCTCGGGGAGCGTTTTTGGCCCCTGAGCTGCCCGCCCTATCCTGCTTTTCCTTCGGCCGCGTCCCTCCTCCCTCCTCCTCCTCCTCCTCCTCCTCCTCCTCCTCCTCCTCCTCCTCCTCCTCCTCCTCCTCCTCCTCCTCCTGCTCGTCCTCCTCCTCCTCCTGCATGGTGGCACAATTCGGCCCAGCGGTACCCCCGTCCATGCTATTCATCGCCAGCGCAGTCACCCTCTGCCTAGCCGCCGACGGAAGAAGTTGTGCGGTCGGTCGAGCCGTCCAGAGGATGAAATGAAGGAGCGTTACGCGGTCGTCAGCTCAGCGTCACCACCACGCCCCCCCTGCTCCGACTTACCACTTCCGCAGACTCTTCTCCTTCGCAGACCAGGATGACACGGTTCACCTCTCAGGAGGTAGGGTTGCGCGGGAAGGTGGCGAGGCATGGTTGCACAGTTCTCTGATAAGCTTCTTATGAGAAGAGGGGCTCCTACTCCTCGCTCTTCCTTCACCTCCTCCTCCTCCTCCTCCTCCTCCTCCTCTTCGGCCCCCCCCCTTCTCCCAGAGGAGGAGCGAAGGGAGCAGTGGAGGGAGGGAAGAGGCGAGAATAGAGAAAGCGGAGAAGAGGAGGAGGAGGAGGAGGGAAAACAGGAGGAGGAGGAGATGGAGCGAAGAGGAGGAGGAGGAGAAGCGAAGAGGAGGAGAAGAAGGAGGAGGACGAGGAGGATGAGGAGGAAGAGTATGAGGAGGATGAGGAGGAGGAGGAGGAGGAGGAGGAGGCGCGAGGAGGATGTTAGCTGTGCAGGCAGGCCAACGAGAGAGGGGAGCAGAGGGGAAAAGACGCATAGAGTAAACGGAGGAGCATCGAGAAGGAGGAGGAGGAGGACGACGAGGTGGAGGATGAGGACAGGGGGGGGTGGGGAAAGAAGAGGATGATGATGATGATGATGATGATGATGATGAGGAGGAGGAGGAGGAGGAGGAGGAGGAGGTGAGGAGGGGGAAGCGGAGGAGGAAACGGAGGAAGGAGGAGAGAGGAGAGAGAGGGTAAGAGAGAGAGAGAGAGAGGCAGGCAAGGTGCGTTCGCGCCACCTCTAACAGCCAATCCCTCCCTCCCTCCCACCCCTTCCCATTGCGTTGATTGATTGTCTAGCCCCGGACGCATGTCATAGCCGATCTGGAACTCCAGCAGCAGCAACAACGAAAGCACCATCGTGGCATGCGCAATCGGGAAGGGTGGCTGCGTACATCGGAGGTGGCGGCTGAGCAGGAGGATGAGCAAGAGGACAATAAGGAGAAGCACCGAGGAGGAGGAGGAGGAGAAGGAGGAGGAGGAGGAGAAGGAGTAGGAGTAGGAGTAGGAGGAGAAGGAGGAGGAGGAGGCGGGGGAGGCGGGGGAGGGGGCGCGAGAATGAGGAGGGGGAGGAGGATGAGCAGGAGGAGGAGGAGGAGGAGGAGGAGGAGGAGGGGGAGGAGGAGGAGGAGGACGATCAGCAGGGAGGACGAGGACGCGGACGATCAGCAGCGGCAGGAACTTGAGCGGACGGAGCGGGCGGAGCAGGAGGACCTCGTGAAGGCGGAGGAAAGGACACGAGAGGGGGGCGACAGCGCCGACAAAGGACTCGCATTCGGGACTGTGGCCCGCGCTGGTGCGAGAGGGCCAATCTCAAGAACTGGAGCAAATTGTCGACCCGTAAGTGGGGCCCACGCTGCAGCGGGAGCACCACGGATTGTACACACAAGCTCTGCGTTCCGATGTGGTACGAAAGCCGTGCGCGGAGAGGAAGTGGCATCTTCCGGACGGAGTCAGGGCAGACAGGCGAGTAGTAATACGAAGTCATAACTCGAGGGGAAAACATAAGAGGATGGGGAGGAGGAGGTTGAGGAGGTGCAGGAGGAGGAGCAGAAGGGGGATCAACACATATGATGATGAGGACAAGGAGCAATCATAATAAGGAAGGAGAGGGGGGGCGGAGGAGGAGAAGGGGAGGATCAAACAGAAGGAGGAGGAGAAGAAGACGAAGAAGCGAGGAGGATGATGTTGAGAAAAAAGTATGATGATGATGATGATGATGATGATGAGGAGGAGGAGGAGGAGGAGGAGGAGAAGAGGGAGCGAGGAGGATGAGGATGAGGATGAGGATGAGTATACGGAGGAGGAGGAGGAGGAGGAGGAGGAGGAGGAGGAGCAGGAGGAGGAGAAGAAGGTAGAGGAGGCCAACAAGGGAGCCTCCAGCGATGAACGGAGCCCGCGGGGGCAGCCGCGGCCTGCGCCAAGAGGCTCCCCTCACTGCGCCAGCCAGGCCGCGGCGGCCACGAATGCGGCGGCGGCGAGTCCCGAGCGCGCGGCGCCGCTCATGGCGCAGCGGAGGCGGCTCATGACGACGGGCGCGGCCTCCTTGGGTTCGGGGGGGGGAGGGGATGCATCCCTTCCTCCTGCTGCTCGTCCTAGTCCTCGTCCTCCTCGTCTTCCTCGTCCTCGTCCTCCTCCCCTACCCCCCCCCCAACCCTGGAGTTCGGAACGCGCCCGGGGGGGAGAGGGGGCGGCGGAGCGCGTCAGTGGGAGGGACCTCCTCGGGTTCCAGGGGTCGGGTCCAGGGAGGGATCTGGGAGGCATCCCCTTCTCCTCGTCATCGTCATCCTCGTCCTCCTCGTCATCCACCTCGTCCTCCTTGTCATCCTCGTCCCTGTTCCTCCTCCTCCTTCTCCTCCTCCTCGTTTGCTCGATACATAAAACAGTGCGTGACACAAGCACGGTGCACTGTATCCTTTGCAGGACCACCAAAAAGGAGGCGTCAAGGTGGGGTCTAACGCCTCGCAGGTTCGCCTCAAAGGTTAAGCCGACGAAGGTGTGCAAAATCCCACCATTCGCTTATGTCCAACCATGCATTTTGGCTTGACGCCAGGTGAGGTGCATCAATTTCAGCTTGGCCAATTGGTTGCGCCCATTGACGTCCGTTTGAGGTGTTCTGCAGACCTGACCCCAAGCCCTACTCAATGTATCCTCTACCTCCTTCGCCTCTTCCTCCTCCTCCTCCTCCTCCTGCTCCTCCTCCTCTTCTTCTCCGACCGTCAAACTTAAACGGGCCTGGCGCTGGCCTGGCAGCAAGAGCCTGGATCCGATCAATCCGATCCTCTTCTTCTCCTCCTCTTGTAGTTCGCCGATCCGATCCTCCTGTTATTTCTCCTCCTCCCCATCCTCCTCCTCCTCCTCTTCCTCCTCCTCCTCCTCCTCCTCCTCCTCCTCCTCCTCCTCCTCTCCCTCCTCTCCTCCCCGGGTCGAGAACGGCCGAGGAGGAGCGAGGGGAAGCTTGGAGGGGCGAGGCCTCCTCGAGGTCGGGCGGGGACTACTGAAGGAATACAAAACGGCGGAGGTCCGCGCGGAGTTCCCCATGACGGCGCCTCGTGCGCCGCCCCTGTCGCGCAACGCGCGCCAGGAAAGGGGGGAGCCCGCGTCGATCCTGAAAATTCGTGCGGAGCTCAGCTTTTTACATCTTCGAGCTGGGGAGCGTCGAGGAGGGTCGATGAAGAGCGGTGGGGAGCGAGGAGGAGCAAGGATCGGGGAGCATCGAGGATCGAGGTCGAGCGGGGAGGAGCGTGGAGGAGCGTGGAGGAGCGGGGAGGAGCGTGGAGGAGCGGGGAGCATCGATGATCGAAATCGAGGAGGATCTAGGAAAAACCAAACTAACTGAAGTGTCGAGGAGAATCAAGGATCTAGGATCTAGCAAAAACGGTCAAAAATCGAGGGTCGAGGAGGATCAAGGATCTGAAGTGATGGCTTCGGGGGCGTGTTGGCCCCGTCAAAGGGGCCCAATATCCTGGCGTCCCCCTCGAGGATGGCCGAGGACCGAGGAGCATCGAGAATCGAGGCGGATCCATTGAGGAGGATCGAGGATCGGGGAGCATCGAGATGTATCCAGGACTGGCGAGACCCATGCCGAGCAGGGCAACCTCCTCGGGAGAAGGCCGTCCGTCCTCCTCCGCGTCCTCCTCCGCGTCCTCCTCCCCCCTCCGTCCCCGCCCCCTCTTCCTCCTCGATCCTCGAGGTTCGACGGTTAAGCTGTCTGGGCCTTCTCGTCCTCTTCGTCGTGCTCGCTGCATGTTAGGCATCCTCTTCATCGTCGTCGCCGTCGTCCTCGTTCTCCCAGAGTCCCCACTCAGCGTCCCCCTCCTCCTCCTCCTCCTCGATCCCCCCTGTCCTTCTCCTTCGTCACTCCCCTCCTCCTCCTCCTCCTCCTCCTCCTCCTCCTCCTCGATCCCCCCGTTCCTCCTCACCCGTGCTTCCTTTCCCTCTTCGCCCTCGGCCCCGACGGTGGAGCCCTCGAGGTTCGACTCCGAAAGTCTTGCTCACTCTCCTCTGTTCCTCCCCCGGGCCTCCGGAGGGGCCCCGGGAGACCTCTGGAGCCCTCCAGAGGCCCCTCTGAGGAGACCCGCGGAGGCCTCCTCAGACGCCCGCGGCCCCGAATCGAGCCAGAGCTCAGGGATGCCGGCTCCTTCCCAACACGGGGCCCTCGCCGGGATGGCAAGCCCGCGGGGCGTCACCAGTCTTGGGCCTCACGGGGCAGCCTCGTGGCTACAGCCGGGTCCTGCTCTAGTCGGCGGCGAGCCGGGGGGAGGAAGTCAGACGGGGCGGGCCTTCCCAGAAGGCTCGGAGGTCCCCTGGCCTTCTGACTTGTCCCGAGGGTACAGAAAACCTCTCAGGAGGCCTGAGGGCCGCTGAGAATCCGCGTCGCCTTCTGAGAAGGCCTGCTCCTTCTCACTTCCCCCCTCGCTCGCCGCCGATCGAAACCCCAGCCAGAGGGTATCTCGCCCTAGGTGCCCAGGAGGCCGCAAGAGTGCACTGGGCCGGCGCAGGTGGACCTGCGAGTGCCAGCAGCGGCATCACATGTCGGAGGTCCGCGCGGACTTTCCGGCTCCGTGGCGGGGGCCTTCCCCCTTCCCCCCCCGCCCCCCCTTGCGCGCGAGGGCCGTGCAAGGGAGGGGGGCGGGCGGGGCGCGCCAGCGGGGAGAGAGGTGGTGGGGTACGCAGGAGGTGCCGCCAGGGGTGTGGGGTTAAGTCGGGCCTGTCCCCCTACAGGGGCATTCCGGACGAAGCATTAACAATAGTCAGAGAATCGACAAATAGTCAAAAAATCGTCCCACAATTATTTTTTACTAGTTTTGAACAGCCCCCCTGTAGAGGGACAGGCCCGACTTAAGTGCGGGGGGGAGAGGCTCAAGTGCCGACCCCAGCATAAGAAGTTTGCTCGTCTCTGCGCCCCTCCAAACAATGGAAACGTTATGTGTTTGCGTGGTGTCTCGAGTCTCGACCGATGCCCCCCCTCCCCCGCAGAGTCCTGCACGATGTTCGTGGCCACCTCCTTGAGCGCCAGATTCTCCATGTAGGCCATGTCGAGCAGAGCGGCAGCGCGTGCCCCGATGCTCTCCTGAACAAAGGCGGGGTACTTGCTGGTGACGCTCGGCACGATCTTGCTCATGTCGTCGAGAGTCGCCTTTCGGGAGCGGCCAAGAGGGGGGTGTCCAAAAGGGGGGGGTGCAAATCATGACCGGCGGCATGTGCGCGGCCCAGCGGGGGGGCCAGGGACGTAATGAAACAAGAAGAGACGCCATGAAATCTGGGGAAATATCATGGCCCACGCCATGATATCCACCCCCCCCTAGTCATCACCCCCCTCTTTTCCGCCCCCGAGCCTTCTGGTGCGCGAGGCTCTGGTAGGCCGGGGCCATTGCGGTGTTGACAAGGTTGGTGAGGTAGAAGCACGCCTCGTTCGTCTGCATGCTGGCCAGGCGGGCCGGATCGATCTGGGTGAGGCGGCTCCTGAACTCCAGGCTGCCAGTCACTCCCTGGATGGCGTTGGCAAGCGAGGAGGTTAGCTTCTCGCCGTTGGACTTGTCCCAGTTGTCCAGACGGGTCATCTGGTAATCCCTCGTGTTCTCGAAGATCTTGACCTCAGCCATCGTATCGTTGAGGACGCGGGAGAGCAGTCCCAGGAACTGGTGGTCGTCGTAGTCGGTGTGGCGGTCTTTAAAGGTTTTCACCATGTGCTTGATAGCCTCGAGCATCTTGGCGGAGGCAGCAGAGACCTTCGAACGCGAGCCATCTAGCTTTTCCTCGATCCAAACCGCGGTCATATCCTTGGACTTGTTCTTCGCGAGGGCGTCGAGTTTGATGGTGATGTTGTCCAGGTCGTGCTTGGTCATGTCGAGCAGCTGCGCGGTCTCGTCCTCGGAGATGGTGCCGTTCTCGATCGCCGTCTTGCGCAGGATTTCCGCCTCCTGTGCCAGCCTGCCCTGGGTCTCGCGCTCCATCTTGGGACGCATGTGCAGGTACGCTCTCTCCTTGAAGAGGGCGCTCTCCACCTGCTTGCGCGCGTGTACCATCAGCTTGGCCTCGTTGCCCTCCTCCCTAGCGAGCTCCTGGTCTATCTGGCGCTCGGCCTTCTGCTCGCGCTTGAGGGGCTCATTGTTGCGGTCGTCGACCCACACGCCGCGACCGTCGTTCAGAGGGTTGTCGGCCTGGAACTTCTGCCAGCCGTCACTGTCGCGCCTCACCTGGCCCTCCATCACCTTGAGCCTGCGCTCCATGTCCTCCACGGCCTGGTCCTCCGCGTCGACCTCGTGGGCCGTCTGGTCGACCACCCTCTCGATCATCGACTCCGTTTTCACCTCGCGCATGAACTGGGACTCCGCGCGCCTGTCCTCGGCCTCCAGCTGGCGCTGGGAGACCCTGGCGTTGGCGCCCTCCGCCGCGATGGCCTCCGCCGCCTCCTCCCTCGCCTTCAGGGCCGCCGCCTCGGCCGCGGCGACCTCCGCGCTGAACTGGAAGACGCCGTCGCTGCCGCTCATCGCCTTCTGGGCAACGGTTACTGAAGTGGCCCCAGGACACACCAATAAATACACACAAATAAAGATATTCCCCAAATTGTCCCATATTTTCCCAGTTTTTTGTCTTCCAAGCAACTTCCCATATTTTCCCATGTTTTCCTCGGAATCAACGATTCATTGTGTCTGTGTGTTTGTTCCCCTCCTGAGTTACGGCGGGTTCGGTTCGTATCGACCGCGGCGTTGGTCTCTGACGGCCGTTTCCGAAACGTCAGATCGTGCAACATCGACCGACTCTGGGCCGCCGCCGGCGCTCCACCGTGGAGCACCAGCGGCGGGGTCGCCGCCGGTCGACACGACGCGAGCCTACCGTAGCCGATCCCTATCCCAACCGGGGATGGACAGACCCCCCTTTAGTAAAACGTGGTTTAGTGAAGACGACCTGAGGCCCAAACCTGGCGGGCGCAAGCCTGGAAAATAGCGGCCACGGCGCCCTCTCGAGAACCGAAAACGGACAATTCACTAATCGACGTGTCCCTGTTGGGGGTTCTGTCCACCCCCGACCCAACGGGCGTGGCCTTGGCCCAACTGGCCGCCTTACACCCGCCGAGATGGGGATAATTACAGGCTGGTCCCGTCGGGTTTGGGGATGCAGGCTGTTAAATGCGGGCTTCGAGGAGTGTATCCCCAACTGGGGTGATGGGATGATGGAGACTGGGATGGGACCAGAGATTGGGATAGGGATCGGTTGAACGATACATGCCTTCCGGATGCTGCCGGGAATGCCTCCAAGGACGACAGCTCGAGAAAAAAGATGCACGGACAACTTATTGCCCATTTCGTTCTCGGCCGCTCCCAAGCGGCCGGTTTCTCATAATCTGATGGGGCCCAAGGACACACACAAAAAAATACACACACTTTCCCCAAATCCCCATATTTTACCATATCTTCGAAAGTTCCGTCTTCCCCTCCAATTCCAAAATGTTCTCATTTTTTCTGGGAATCCACGATCAATTGTTTTTTCCCCTCCTGATAATCCCGAATACGTTTGTTTGAAGGCCGCGTGGCCCAGTGGCGGCACACGGAGGCAGTAAGAGCGTCAGCGAAAAGATTGCAAGCATGGGTCCCACACCATGTGGGCTCTTCCCGTTTCGGTGTGTGGTCAATGTGGTGCAGTAGCTGGGATGGGATATACGTGCACGTGCGCATGGTTTATATAAATATATAGCTATATATAGTTTTCAAACACCTACATGCTTATATTCCCATGTACTGCACGCCATGCGTTGCAGACCATGTGATACCAATTCCGTTGAGCGAGCTGAGTGTTGCAGGCTTTTGGGTGCCAGCTGGTTTGGGCAATACCTGTGATGCGCTCTGTGTGGTACAACCTATGTTGCGCATCTGGTGTAGAAGGATGCGTGGGGTGTTACACTCCTTGTACAATACCTGGGTTGAAGTCTGCGGTGCAACTAAAAGTGTGTGCAGCGGCGACAACGAGGCGGCGCCTGGTGGCCATCTGGCGAAAAGAAAACCACAAAACAGAAACACCAACCACTTCCTTAGAAACGGCACAAGTAAACCTTAGTGCAACACCATCCTTCTCCTCCTCCTCCTCCTCCTCCTCCTCCTCGTCCTCCTCTTCCCTCTCCTCCTCCCCCTCCTCCTCCTCCTCCTCCTCCTCCTCCTCCTCCTCCTCACCCGCCTCCTCGCTCCTCATCCTCGTCCTCTCGCTCTCCTTCTCATCCTCCTCCCCTCCTCCTCTTCCTCAGCCCTCCTCCTCCCCTTCTCCTCATCCTCCTCCTCAGCCTCCTCCTCCGACTCCGTCTCCTCCTGAGCCTCCTCCTCCCGTCCTCCTCCGCCGCCTCCTCCTCCTCCGCCTCCCCCACCGTCTCCCCCTCCTCCTCCTCCTCCTCCTCCTCCTCCTCCTCCTCCTCCTCCTCCTCCTCCTCCTCCTCCTCCTCCTCCTCCTCCTCCTCCTCCTCGGGAAGGGGATCGGCCCCAGACATCCGACGGCTTTTGTTTTTTTTCCACGGGCGGCCCCACGAGTTCCCGACCGCTTGCCCGGGGCCCGTTTTGTTTCTCGCCCCTGGGAGAAGCCCTTGATGCTCCAGGAGCCCGAGGACGGGCACGCGAGCCGAAGTCCAGGAACACCGCCCAGACTGAGGACACCAGATCGTTGGAGGTCTGGGCTCAGGTCGGGCGTGTCCAGCGACAGGCGGACTTTGGACGAAAAATGAAAAAATTATAAAACATGTCCCAAATGGTCAAAAATAGTCAAAACATCATCCCCTGCTTTGATTGAGACTGTTTTGGAAGATCCCCCCTGTAGAGGGACGCGCCCGACTTAAATCTGGGCCACGGTCTTCCTGCGACGCCCGAACCTTACCCGTCTGGCCCAGCGCCCTGACGTTGTCGTCACCGGGGAGGATTAGGCTCGTCTGCTGCTCGGGCTCGGTCTTCAGCGCACACGCGGCAATGGAAGTGAGAGCGATCGCAGCGAACCGCGTCATGTCGTCTGCAGCTCTGCGTTGCGAGTATTGGCAAAGTAACTGGCTGTCAGCAAAGTGGCTGCGGGTTCGGAGGAGCTCAGGTCTAGGAAGTCGTCGGGCCTCAGGTTCCCCCGAGAGTCTTGGTGTGCTATGGCATCCTGCTCCAAGTGTCTGGCGACCGCACGTATGTCGCCGAGAACCCCCCAAGTGACATGAATGAAACAGGTCCTCAGAGAAACGGATCCTGGACCGCGGAGCTTTCCCAAGGCCAGCTGTTCGTCCTGAACCGTTTTCGGAGAAGCCTTCAGAACGAACAACAAAAATGATCCAGTTTCCTCAGGAACCGCTTGCTTCATAGCAACTATGTGCCCCATGATGCAAGAGCCCTGCCAAACAGACCCATGGCGGCTCTAAGACTGCCCTGCAGACCTGCCCGAGACCCCCTCGAACGGACGCGGGACCCTCTAAGATGACCCGCAGGCAACCAGCAAGACCCCGACAAATCCACAAGAGACCCCAAAGAGCCTTCCAACAAATCATGATACGGCTGATTCGTGTCGCGACAACTTCGGCATTGGTCTCTGACACCGTGCCGATCGTTCAATCTTGAACACGCGCAGCTTTCCAATGGCACGGACCGGTCGACGTCGGACAATTCCAGCCCCAGGCGGCATTCAACCTTGAATGCCCACGCTGGGATAGCCTCCGCATCGACACATGACACAACCGTACAAGTCTCGGGGACAGGCTACAACACAATCTCCGCCTGACGTAGGCCTCATAATGCCGCCGCTGCCCCCCTCGCCCTCGTCGCCGCTGTCGCGTTTGCCGCATTTTCCGTTGTCGCAATCGCCGTCGTCGCCGCCGTGATCGCCGCAGTCGTCGGCGACGCCTTTGGTCGCAACCGTCGTCGTCGTCGTCGCCGTCGCCGCGTCCTCGAGACCAGGTCGTAGGACCCCGAGGAGAACTCCACCTTCAGCTCCTGCACAATCTGCGTCACCTCGCCACGCGCGCGCCCACGCGCGAGCGCGGGAGGCGCGCCCTGCATGAATTGCGTGCATTGGGACGTCGAACCTGCTACCACATATGAACTGCGTACACCACGCGAAATGGTTAAGAAATCATGGGTTAAGAAATTCATGGTCTCAGAACTTGAATAAATTATCCCGGCAAAGCAACCTAACAGCGATGTGTAGGAGCATATCTGGAAGCATTCCCCTTAAGATTCAGATGAGAATCCAGTTGTAGAATTGTGCTGTTCTCGCAGTCGTAGTCGCATTCGCGATGACAGTCGCAGTGGCAACGGCAGTCACAGACACAGCCTCAGCCTCAGCCTGCCTCAGCCTCAGCCTCAGCCTGCCTCAGCCTCAGCCTGCCTCAGCCTCAGCCTCAGCCTGCTTCAGCCTCAGCCTCAGTCTGCCTTCAGCCTCGGCGTCAGCCTCAGCTGCCTCAGCCTCAGCCTGCATCAGCCTCAGCCTCAGCCTCAGCCTGCCTCAGCATCAGCCTGCCTCAGCCTCAGCCTCAGCCTGCCTCAGCATTCAAAATGTGGCCCGGGAATGGAGTTCTGGGAACTCGAAGAACACGAAGTGGCCTACAGTTGGCTCCGGGCATTCAAAATCATGCCCAGGAATGGAGTTCTGGGAACTCGAAGACCACGAAGTGGCCTACAGTTGGCTCCGGGCATCCAAAATCTGGCCCGGGAATGGAGTTCTGGGAACTCGAAGACCACGAAGTGGCCTACAGTTGGCTCCGGGCATTCAAAATGTGGCCCGGGAATGGAGTTCTGGGAACTCGAAGACACGAAGTGGCCTACAGTTGGCTCCGGGCATTCAAAATGTGGCCCGGGAATGGAGTTCTGGGGACTCGAAGACCACGAAGTGGCCTACAGTTGGCTCCGGGCATTCAAAATGTGGCCCGGGAATGGAGTTCTGGGAAGTCGAAGAGCACGAAGTGGCCTACAGTTGGCTCCGGGCATTCAGAATGTGGCCCGGGAATGGAGTTCTGGGAGGTCGAAGAGCACGAAGTGTGTGACTGTATGCGAAAAACGATCCCCGCCGGCAAACCCCAACACCTCCCCAACGGCTGCCCAGACCCCCCTGTGGAGTCATCTGCTGCTCTCTTTTTTTAGCCCATTAGAAACCTATCAGTCTTCGCTGTTAGGTAAAACCGAAAATTTCTATCAAAATCTTAGGATTTACATTGAAACGTTAAGAATAATCGAGACTCTGGCCGAAAATTTAAATTTTCTTAAGCATCGCCTAAGGTGTACATTGGGAAGCCAAACCTGCTTCCAAACAATAACATGCGCCGAGTGCATGGGAAGCCGAACCTGCTTTCAACAAAAACCTCCCAATGCACGCAATTCATCTCAGGTTCGAGTTCCCAATGCGAACAAGCGGCTGCCGAAGAGGGCGGACGGAAGGACGCTAGCAGGCGCCGGCGTGGGCCCAGCGGAGTCGACAGGTCGCACCCTTATGTTTGCATGGGCGACGAGGCCCAGGGCCCCTGGCGTCGTCTCTCAATGCCAAAGGCCACGCTAACTTCAGGTCGGGCATGTCCCCCTACAGGCGGATGTTGGACGAACGGCAAAAAACTGTCAGAACATATTCAACACAAGATGATCAAGCAATCGTCCCCAGACTATCTCTTTACGATGTTTTTACTTTTCCATCTGTAGAGGGACACGCCCGACTTAACGTTAACGGCGATGATGGTGCACGGCGATGTCGGGTATCTAGTCTCTGCGGCGCCGAGCTCATGCAGAACGTGTTGTGGGAGAGCACGAGCAAGCATTTCCTACAAGTGGGTTGGCCACGAAACACCCCCACCAACAGTACCAGAACCTACATCGCCGTCACCTGACACCGCCGCTATCGTGCTTGAGATATGCGTGGCCGATGGGCCTCTAGACTCTAGACCACTCTGGAGGGGCACATTTTCCATCCCAGGTGCTGTTGACTGCCCCCAGGCCCGAAAAAGAAGAGTTGCGCCCCCAGCCAGTCCCCCCGGGATGTTGAAACTGGCGCGCCTGAAAAGGCACCCCCTCGCAACTGCTGAGCACTGGAGGCCTCCAGGCTTGCTCGTATGTACATGTCCACCGCATGGGCGCCCGCACGTGCTTCACACACACTGTAAGCCCTGAGCCCCAGAATGCTAGCATCTCACTTTTACTTGCGCCGCCCCCCGCTGGTTTTCGCCGGCGAAGCTCCCGCCCTTCTGCTTCCGCCAGCCTCCGCCGGCCTTCCAGCCAGGGCGAAGATGTGCCAAAGTTTAGGTCGGGCATGTCCTCCTACAGGCGGATTTTGGACGACAAATACAAAAAAACAAAGAGGTCAAGCATAGGAAGAAACACCCCCCGCTTCGCTTTTACGACTTTTTAGCCTTTCTCCTGTAGAGGGACATGCCCGACTGAAGCCAAAGCCGAGACCGCTTGTTTCGGGGAGACGTGAGACTCGGGTACGGGGGACCCGGGCTGGGCCCGACGGGGCCATCATGAAAATGACAAGGCCCAGTCTGAAACTCGACGCGAGCTCCCGCTGCAGATACCCCACGAATGCTGGACCGTCAAAATCCGGGGCGCGCTCGTCGAAAAAGGTCGGCAAACCCGAGTCCCGACTTACTCGAGTCTTACGTTTATGTTGCTCCCATCGTGCGTAAGGAGCGCATCTCATAAATGATTTCGAGCACCCAGAAAAGTGTCGAAACAGTGTCGAAAAAGTGTCGGACGAATGTCTCGTAGGGCCCGACACATGAAAGCCCTCGAGTTCTGGTACTTTCCTGGTGCTCGACATTATTTCTGGAGATCAAGACTCGAGTCTTACGTTTCATCCAACTGTTGCAAGCCACCTTTGGGTCGGGCCGCCTCGCCTGGTCTCTGGGGACCGACAGCTGCGCCACCTCGCGGCAACGCGCAAGGAAGGTGACCCTTAGCAGGGGTGACCGCTGGTGCGCGGGGCTTGCTGATCGTTGATGGGCCTGTCTTCACCACCACCACTCAAAGTTGGTGGGGAAGGGGGTCCTCCTCCTCCTCCTCCTCCCCCTCCTCCTCCTCCTCCTCCTCCTCCTCCTCCTCCTCCTGCTGCTCCTTCTCCTCCTCCTCCTCCTTCCCCTCGCCCTCCTCCTCCTCCTCCTCCGGCTCCTCCTCCTCCTCCTTCTCCTCCTTCTCCTCCTCCTCCCCCTCCTCCTCCACCTCCTCCTCCTCCTCCTCCTCCTTCTCCTCCCCCCTCCCCTTCTTCTCCTCCTCTCCTCGCCCTCCTCTCCTCTCCTCCCTCCTCCCCCCCCTCCTCCCCCCTCCTTCCTCCTCGCCCTCGTCCTCCCCCTCCTCCGCCTCCTTCTCCTCCTCCCTGCTCCTCCGCCCCCGCCTCCTTCCCTCCTCCTCCTCCTCCCTCTCCTCCTCCTCCTCCTCCTCTCCTCCTCCTCCTCCCCCTCCTCCTCCTCCCTCTTCCTCCTCCTCCTCCTCCTCCTTCTCCCCGTTGGTGAGCGACTACTTGCTGATCGTTGATGGGCCTGTTTTCCACCACCACCAATATCACCGCACCACCATAAGTTGGAGGGGCAGGGGGTCCCTCCTCCTCCGCCTCCTCCTCCTCCTCCTCCCCCTCCTCCTCCTCCTCCTCCTCCTCCTCCTCCTCCTCCTCCTCCACCTCCGCCTCCTTCCTTTCTTTTCCTCGTCGCCCTGCTCCTCATCGCCCTCCTTTTCCTCCTCCTCATCCCCGTTGGTGCGCGGCTATCTGCTGATCGTTGCACGCGTTACGACAGTAGTGGCCAGAGTGCTTGGGCTTTTTTGTTCATAAGGGAACGAACAACGATGTAAACATAAAAGCTAGGAGGTCCGCGCGGATGTCTCGCATCTGTGCGCGCTATAGGGGCGGCGCTGGAGGCGCCGCCAGGGGGTCCAGCGCGGATCCGAAAAATCTGCGCGGACCTCCGAGTTCCGAGTTTTCATGTTTATGTATTTGTTCGTTCCCCTAGTAGTGGCCGGCGTGCTTGGGCTTTGCCCCTCCCCCCCCCGCCCCTCGGAAGTCGTGAGCTGGGTCACTCCGGCGCGGAGGGTCACTCGGCTCTCGGGCCACAACTCGGGTCTCCGTCGGGCCACAACTCGGGTCTCCGGCGGCCGTTAGGGACGATCCCGGCACCCCCAGAGAACGCTCTCGGCGAGGCGCAATTGCCGGAATGCGCCCCCCGGCAGGAAAACTGTCAGGAACCTACGAACATGACATAAAAAACCTACTCCAGATTTCGTAATCAAGGGAGGGGGGTCTCATTTCGGGGGGGTCTCTTCCAGGCTATCTTGGAGGGCCTGGGGGGTCTGGGGACGATATCTTGCAGGGTTCTCCCACGGGGGAGGTCTGAAATGGCTTGTCTTGGAGGGTCCAGACCCCCTCCCTTTTTTTTACGAACTCTGGAAAAGCCGATGAATTATCACGGCTCCTCCTGCCGCGCACCGGAGGGCACTCCAGCTGAGGGCCGCCCTTCCGTGCAGCCGACACCTCGACCGACTGGTAGAACGTCCAGCCGCTCCCCGGGGGCGGCACCCTCGGCCGCTGGATGCTGACGCCGGTGGCGCCGGTGGCGCCGCCTCGGCGTCTCCGAGTCGGGGGAGGCCTCGTCTCCAATCGGTGAGACGTAAGACTCGGGTACGGGGGACTCGGGTTGGGCCCGACGGGGCCATCATAGAAATGACGAGACCCAATCCGAAATTTGACGAGGGCTCTCGCTGCAAACATCCCACGAAAACTGGACCGTCAAAATCCAGGACGCGCTCGTCAAAAAACGTCGGCAAAACCGAGTTCCGGCTTACTCGAGTCTTACGTTTCCCCGATCCAAATCCTCCTTGGTCCTCTCTCCTGATACAGGGAAAGCGCCGGTTCGGCTCGGTTCGGTTAGGTTCCGAAGCGCCTCGGGCTCGGTTCGCTTCGGCTCGGTGTCGAAATCTTCCAATTCGGTTCGGTTCGGTGCGTTTATTTCTTATGTTTCCGGTTCGGACCGGTTCCTGTTCTGGTTCGGTCCGGTTCCGGCCAGATCGCCTTCGAGGAGTGGATCCGACCCAGCCGATCAGATTTCGTTGCGCTCCTGTCGATGCCAAAGTGGCCCCAAAGGACCCCAAACCCGACAGGGGCCCCGACGGAGCCCCAAAGGGGCTCCAAACTTCAAAGGGGCTCCAGACCCCAAAGAGGCCCCGAAGGGGCCCCAAAGGGGGCCCCAAACCCCAAAAGGGCCCGAAGGGACCCTAAAGGAGTCTCAAACCCCAAAGGGGCTCCAAAGGGGCCCCAAATCCAAAGGTGCCGGTGCCCCAAAAGGGTATTAAACCCCTTGAGGGCCCCGAAGGGGCCCCAAAGGGGCCCCAAACCCCAAGGGCCCCGAAGGGGCCCCAAAAGGACCCCGAAGGGGCCCCAAACCCCAACGGGGCCCCAAACCCAAAAGAGGCGCCGAAGGGGCCCCAAACCCCGAAGGGGCCCCAAACCCCAAAGGGACCCCAAAAGGAGCCCCAAACCCCAAAGAGACCCCAAAGGGGCCCCAAAGCTGTTTCAAACCCCAAAGGGGCTTCAAACCCCAAAGAGGCTTCAAAAAGGCTCCAAACCCAAAAGGGGCCCCGAAGGGGATGCAAAGGGGCCCCAAACCCTAAGGGCCCCGAAGGGGCCCCAAGGGGCCCCCAAACCCCGAAGGAGCCCGAAAGGGGCCCAAACCCCAAATGGGTACCCCGGCGGCTCCCTGGGCGACAAAGGGGCCCGCCCTCCCGCGGTCCGCTCCGCGCCGTCGACGTCGGTCCGGTTCGGTAGGGTTCGGTCCGGCTCGGTCCGGTTCGGCGGGGGAGGTTCGGCCCAGTTCGGAGTCCCGGCTCGGTTCGGTTCGGTGTCGCAATTATCCTGTTCGGTTCGGTTCGGTTCTCATTGACAAAAAACACCGGTTCGCTTCGGCCCGGTTCGGATGGCCGGTTCGGTTCGGTTCTGGAACCATCCTCCCCCTTCATCTCCTGGTCGTTCTCTCAGGCACAAGCGGCGCGCGGGCCCCCCCGCAGGCGTTTCGGCCGCCCGCGTGGGTGTCAGCACGTCGGGCCCAGTGCTCCCCGGAGCGCTTGAGTGGCACGCCCGACGGAACGACAAGTTCTCGTACCTAATAAGAGATCGCTAAACTGGGCGAGTCATGTGCTATTTGGACGTGGGGCGAATGCAATCAAGCTGGTGGTTTCTACACTTCCTACTTCTGGCTTTAGTAAGACCCAGGCATCGGTTTCGTGGTCAGCATGCCTTACGCGGCGTTGGTGTCCCACATTTGGATGTTCAAGTCAGGTTTTTAGGAGTGTGTACTGGCCACTTGAGTCATTAATTTGTTCGCCAGGCTGTTTCACATGTGCTGTCGCATGCTGGTGTGTCTGGCGGTCCTTGCTGCACTTCGGTTTCATGCCCTGTTCCAGGCTGGCCACGCAGGCCCAGTGCCAAACAAGCCCGCATCCCATCAGTCTGGGCGTGCAGTCGTGCATACAGGTCAGCTGTGTCATTTGTGTTCGCAATTAGGGTCGCAACTGTCGTGGCATATCAGTGCTGTGCTGGTCCTTGCCGCATGCTCCGTCCGACGCTGCGGGCTGGGAGGCGTCACGCAGGCATAGACCCAACCAAGCCCGCACCCCCACTATCCCAGTGTACTTCAATTTGCTGCAGCTTATGCTGGATCAACATGTGCTGTCTGCTTTAATCGCTCTTTCGAGGCACGCCGTAATGCCAACGCACTAGCTTCGGCAATTGCCAATGCACTACGGATTCGGTTGGGACGTTCGCTTGTTGCGCACGACGGGCGGGTGGCCAGTCTGTTGGGCTGGTATTCGTTGGGAGTGGTGGTCGTGCAGTGCTGGATTGTTTGGCTTAGTAATACAGTGCTCTGTTTAGGTACGTACCGCGGTCATCGTTACACGCGGCGTCCAGTTCTCCCCCTCAGGCGCCACTTCGGCGGGCAAGCTCATGAGCTTCGAGGTCTTCATGTGAGTCGTGCAGGCATCTGTTTCTAATCGCAAGCATACTATGCGGCCCCATTCCCATTCCCATTCCTTCTCGTCGTCCACCTCCTCCTCCCATGTCCTACGTAATCCCTCTCAGCCCCCATGTCCTCTTTTGTCCTCCTCCTTTGGCCTACTGCTCCCACATTCTGATCCTCCTCCTCCTGCTCCTCCTCTTTTACGACGGCTACAACGAAAGCTCTAAGCTCTCCCGTAGCGCAATTCTTAAGAAGTGCCCTTCTGGGCTTGAAGCCTTGGCCCTTTCCTCCACAGAGCACGCCAAGATAGAGACCACCGTTGTTACCTCTGCGCGTTCATAAAAAAGGCTCGGCTGCAAACTTGTCAGGCTCCCACGTCGTCGCGCAGAGTGACAACATGATGCTCAGGAAATGGCGCATTCTGCTAGCAATGGGGAGCTCGCGGACCGACGGGTCCGTTGGCTTCAGAGCATGGTTGTAAAGTCCGTCACCCCACGGCGCACCTTCAGACGATTGCTGCTCTACTCTGACACATTATTGAAGATTCCCCTACTCTCATGGGTCCAAAGCGGCCCCGTAGATCATTACCCAGTCACTTTGAGACCCATGCTTGAGGGACAAGCAACAGGCTCATCGCTCCCGCGTTCCAGAGACTTTCGGATCGCATGGCGGTCTCCTGGAGTGATTGTACCGGTGCAGTCCGATCATTGTACACGGCCAGGTCAGTCAAGGATGGTTCTCAAGGTGGGCCGAGTTGAGTCCTCATCCGCCTCCTCCTCCGCCCTCCCCCGTGGAGGGGGAGAGAGGCAACGGGGGCGGAGATGGACACCGTCGTTCTCGGCGTCGGACGCCGTCGGAGCCGTCGTCGGACGAATGCTCATAAGAAGGCGAAAGCCGCGGAGGACGAGCAAGAAGCAGCAGAAGAGACATAATAATAATAAGCCGAATAATAATAAGCAGAAGAAGAAAAATAATAATAATAATCATACTAATAATACTAATAACGATAATAATAATAATAATAATAGTACTACTAATACTAATCATAATAATAATAGTAATAATAATAATACGAATAATAATATAAATAACAATAACAATAACAAGCAGAAGAGACTAAGAAGACATCCGGGCCCGCTCGGCCACAGGCGGCGCCTGGACCCACGAGCCGCGAACCGAGCCTGGACTCGTAGCAGGAGGAGGTTCTGCTGCAGCCCCGGGGGGGCCTCGGCTGTCCCCAGCGCGGCCCTGCTCGCGTCGAGCAACGGGCGAATGCATATCGGCCTCCTTGGATCCGTGTCGACTCCTTGTCGGATCCGCGCCGACTCCGCGCCAAATCCGCGTCGAGCCCGCCTCGAGCCCGCGTCGGGCCCAAGAAAAGGCACCCATGTTGGAAACAGGCGAGGTCCCCCGAAGATGCAACGTAAAGGAAGGATGGAGGGAGGACAGAGACTACTAGGCTAGGATGCGCCAGCGCGATGATCCGCATGAGGGCGTCAAGCCGCGGCCCGTTGAGAGCAGGAAGTGGACTAAAGGCATCTCGCATCTCCCCTGACCCCCTGCCCGCAAGATCGATTCTTTCCGCGGCCACTCCGTCGCCGTGGGCAGGATGGCAAGGGTGGGTGAGTGGGAAGAGGCCTCCTCATCTTCCTCCTCGGCCTCCTTCTCCTGCTGCTTCTCCTCCTCCTCCTTCTTCTCCTCCTCCTCCTCCTCCTCCTAATCCTCCTCCTCCTCCTCCTTCTCCTCCTCCTCCCCCTCCTACGTATTGCTCCTCCTCCTCCTCTCAAAGCTCCCAGCGGGGAATGGACACTCGTCCTTCCTCCTCCTTCCCCTCCCTCATTCTTCCCTTCCCTCCTCCTCCTCTTCCTCCTACTCCTCCTCCTCCTCCTCCTCCTCCTCTTCCTCTTCTTCCTCCCAAAGCTCTCGGCGGGGAATCGACACTCGTCCCGCCTCCTCCTTCCCCCCCTCCTCCTCCTCCTCCTCCTCCTTCTCCAACCTCCTCCTCCTCTTATTCTTCCTCCTCCTCCTTGTCCTCCTCCTCCTCCTGCCCCTCCTCCCCCCTCCCTCCTCCTCGTGCTCCTCCTCCTCCTCCCTCATCCTCATCCTCATCCCTCATCCTCATCCTCATCCTCATCACATCATCATCATCATCATCATCATCATCATCATCATCATCATCATCATCATCATCATCATCATCATCATCATCATCAGCATCAGCATCATCATCAGCATCATCATCATCATCATCATCATCTTCATCATCATCATCATCATCATCATCATCATCATCATCAACCTCCCCCTCCTCTTCCTCCTCCTCCCCGTCCTCCCGAAGCTCTCGGGGCGGGGAATAGACACTCGTCCCTCCTCCTCGGAGGAGAGTGGGGAAGGAGGAGGGAGAGGAAGGATGAGGGACGAGTTTGTATTCCCCGCCGAGAGCTTTGGGGGGGTCCTCAACATCAAATACTCTTCGCGATGATCGAAGGGCACCGCTTCTCCAGGGGGAGAGCAACACATGAACAGTCGACCCATATACAATGGAGGTTCCGATCATAATGCACGGGCCATTGGAGGCCGTGCTAAAGTTTTTGAAGCGAGGCTTGCCAGCGAAAGTCGCCAAGGATAGGGGCAAGGATGCGAGGCTAGCATTGTCAGGTTGCCCATCGTTGCTATGCGGGCTGACTGCATCCAGGGACGACGATGGTCCGCGCCTTCGGCGAGGAGCCCCGGGCGAATGCGTGCAATGCCCGCCCCAGGGGCCATTCGCCCCCGCTGTCGCCTCCGACTCGAGTTGCGGGGCAGGGCGGGGCTTCTGCCAGCCAGCGAGCCAACGGCCCCGCCGCCGCGAGCCACATCGGCTCCGCTCCCGCCACCGAACGCGCTCCTCCGAGAGCGAGGCCCCGCCGCGGCGACGAGGATCACCAGGGAGCCCCAGCCCCCGGGGGTCAGGATGTCTTCATAGCGTCCACCCCCAGAGGTCTCGACCCCTTCCCCGGGACCTGCTCCTCATCCTGAGCCGCTCTTTCGCGGCCCCGAGGCCCGGCGAGGGCCCCCAGACGCCCCAAATGGCGCACAAAGCTCCCGTCGTGCCGTCTTCATGTCTCAGTGGGGGTCTGGGGCGCTCACTAGAACCTCCGATATGACAACGCACGAACACGACGTCGTCGCCGCCCTCGCCCTTGCCGGCGCTGGCGTCGGCGGCGGCGCCGCCGCAGGCAGCCGAGGCCCCAGCCGCCGCCGAAGACGTACTCCGTGCCGAGCACCTCCAGCCCGGAGTGGTAGGCCACGTGCTGGCCGCCCGTGGGCGAGGCCGCCGGAGCCCACCGCTCCGCGGGGGGGCTCGTCGTGGGCGCAGTGCGGCGGCGGCGGGGACGACGCCGACGACGACGACGACGACGACGACGACGACGACGACTACGACGACGACGACGACTACCAAGACGACCAAGACGACTCCGACTAATTACTGTAGCGCTGATGGCGCTGACGACGCTGGGGTGGACGACTTCGGCAACTACGACGACGACGACAACGACGACGACCTTCGACGACGACCTTCGACGACGCAGACGACGACGACGACGCCGACGACGAGGCCGACGGCCTCCGCGGTGGGCCACGTCAGAGCTCTCGGAAGCCCGCGCCGGTGTCGTGGGGGGCCGGCGCGGGGCCGACGAGGAGGAGGAGGACGATGAGGAGGGGGGGGGGAAGGAGGAGGACGAACAGGAGGAGAAGGAGGAGGACGAGGAGGAGGACGAGGAGGAGGAGGAGGAGGAGAAGGAGGAGGAGGAGGAGGAGCAGGAGGAACCGAGGCTCATGGTGCGTGGGGGGCCACGGGGCAGGAGACCCCAGAATCGAATCAATGACTCGGGTCGGCGATCGAGACGCATCGGATCGTCAGAAATCGGCGGCCGAGTCGCAAAAAACCGAATGGGAGGACATGGGCAGGCTATATCCAAAACGGAATCCCAAGTCACATCGAATCAGGACCAAAGCCATCGAAATCGAACCGAATCGAATTGGAAGGCCGCTTGCCCGCCCGCGAGCCCGCTTGCCCGCCAACGAGCCCGCTTGCCGCGGAGGCCCCGAGGGGTTTTCAAGGCCCGAGAGCGCTCGGGGTATATATATATATAGAGAGAGAGAGAGAGAGAGAGAGAGAAAAAAAAAAAGAGAGAGAGAGAGAGAGAGACAGAAAAAAACATACATAAAGGATGCAGAGGAGGCCCGGCCTCCTGCAACATGAAGAAGGCAGGCCATGGAGAGAAAGGGCTCCTGGACCCCGACCACCGACGTCGTGCTGCTTGATTACTGGATTCGGCGGCGGACCCTGGGGGGAAGCTCGGAATCCCGCCGGCTTTCTGAAAAGTTCTCGGGGTCTTCCCCGAAGGCGCACAAGACCTCTCCTCTCAGAGGGCTGGAGGCCTTCCGAGAAGTCCCGCCGCATTCTCAGAAGGCCTCGTTTTTCTCACCTCCCCCCCTCGTTCGCCGCCGATTGACCGACTCCTCGCCACATCGTGGGCATCTCTTTGCGAGCATTTAGTCCCGTCGCCTTCAAAGAACGCTTTGGGGCACGCCCGCGTTCGTCGGATCGGGGCCGGAGCCCGCTTGGCGGCGCCTCCAGCGCCAACCCTTCGCGCGCCCCGCACGCCAGGGAGGCGGGTCCAGCGCCGATCCGACGAATCCGCGCGGACCTCTGAATTTGTACGTTCATCCCAATGTTTGGCCCCCTACGTAAAACAAGCCCCGGACCCCTCCCGGGCGCGCGGTTTCCCCCGGGGCCGTAGGCGACCCGAGGAGGAGGAGGAGGAGGAGGAGGAGGAGGAGGAGGACGAGGAGGAGGAGGAGGAGGAGGACGAGGAGGAGGAGGAGAAGGAGGAGGAGGAAGGAGGAGAAAAATGAGGAGGAGGAGGAGTAGGAGGAGGAGGAGGAGAAGGTAGAGAGAGAAGGAAGAGGAGGCGGAAGAGGAGGCGGAGGAGGAGGAACAGGAGGATAGGGCGGTCGGGGGTCGTGCTGTCAACAACTCTGAGCTCTTTGACCCCATGGGAACGATATGGAAGCAAACCCTTTACTAACTTGGTTGGCCGGAGGAACTGCCTGGGGCGGGCGAGGCTGGGGCTGCTAACGCGGGCCCTTTGCCTCGCTGCCCCGTCGCAGGGGCCCCCGGCGCTCTTGGTCACTGGGCTAAACATCCAGGAGCCAACTGCTGCCGCGAGGGGCGGGCAGCTGTCTCTGAGGGCCTCTCCCCCCGCCCCCCCCCCCCTCTCACCGCTCCTCTCGCCCCTCCCCTGCTTCAAAGCCAAGAAATGGGGCGGCCTGGTACTTGATGATCGCGCCAGTTCTCTCTCTCTCTCTCTCTCTCTCCCTCCCGCTGCGCTCCTCGATCTCTCTGCCGCTGCTGCTGTGTGCCGCGCTCCAGTGCGCGGCTGGGTCGACGGCTCTGCAGTCTGCATCGAGAAACGATAGTCACGGGGCTGGCTGTGATCTCAGCCGCCCGCTCTAGCTCTGAGACGCAGATCCCTCAGCCGTCCATAGTGGCGACTGTCTCGTTCGTGAGCCTGGATCTTCGGATCTTCGCTCCGCTCACTCTGATGCAACGAAGCAAAGAGAGAAAAAAGAGGGGGGCGGCCTGGTCCTGACAATCGAGCCCGCTCTCTCTTTCCCTCGATCGCCCTGCTGCTGTTGCATGTGAGCGCTGCGCTGCACCTCACTGGCCGCGGCCGGGGAAAAGGAGGCGAGAGGGCCAAGCTCGCAGCAGCGAGGCAAGTAGGGAAGGGGGGGGGGGAAGAGGCGGCCAGTCCTGACGATCGAGCCCGCTCTCTCTGTCTCGATCTCTCTGCTGCTGCAGTGAGCGCTGCACTTCTCTGGCTGCAGCTGGGAAAAGGAGGCGAGCGATGGCTGGCTCGGCTGCGACGAGGCATGTATAGGAAGGGGGGATGAGGCGGCCAGGTCCCGGCGATCGAGCCCGCTCGCTCGCTCTCTCTCTCTCTCTCTCTCTTTCCCTCTCTCTCGATCTCTGCTGCTGCATGCGAGTGCTGCGCTGCACCTCGCTGGAAACAGCCGGGAAAACGACGCGAGCGAAGGCTTGCTCGGCTGCGACGAGGCACATGAAGGAAGGGGGGGGGGGGGGGGGTCGGCCTGGCACTTGCGGTCGTCCGATCCCGCTCTCTTTCTCTCGATCTCACTGCTGCTGTCGCGCGGGGGCCGCTCGCCTCACTGGCCGCAGCTGAGAAAGGGGGTGAGCGAGGGCCGCTCGGCTGCAACGAGGCAATTTAAAAAATGGAAGGGGGGCGGCCTGGAACATGATGGTTGGGCCCGCTCTCTCTCTCTCTCTCTCTCTCTCTCTCTCTCTCTCTCTCTCTCTCTCTCTATCTCTCTCTCTCTCTCTCTCTATCTCTCTGCTGCTGCTTGAGTGTGTAAGTGCTGCGCCGTGCTGGCTGCAGCTGCGAAAGGCTAAGCAGTGATTCGAGAAACGATTGTCGAGGAGCTGGCTGCTACCTCTGCGCGCGCCGCTCACTCTAGCTCTGTAACGCCGAGCCCCCAACCCGCCTTGGTGGCCACGTCCTCGCTCGTGGGCCTGGCGTCGCCGCTCGCCCTGTTGGTGGTCGGCGCCCCCATCAGCGCGTGGTGTGTCTGCCGCCCCTGCGCTAGGGGCGACGGCTTGTGGCTTTCTGCGCACCTCTGGTGGGTGCCTCCCGTTGGCGTCTGCGGGGCGGGGTTATGCCTCTCGCCTGCAAGGTCGCAGCCGAGCCCGCGCATGCTCTTCGACCACTTCGCGTAGCAGCCTTCAAGCTCGTCGTTCTGCTTGCGGCCGAAGTCCGTTTCCCGTGGGAATGGGCCTTTCGTGCGCCTCGAAGTATCTTCCACGCAGTCCTTCAACTCCGTGGCGACCTGGATCGCGTGCTCGATCTTCTGCAGCTGGCGCGTCATGGTCTCGATGCCATGGACCCGCTCCATTCCCTCGTGCACGTTCTCGCTGCGAGAGCACTTCAGCCGTTCAAAACTGGTGGTGGGCCTCTCCTGCTGACGCTGGAGCACGGTGATCGTCGCCTGGGTGGGGTCGCTGCACTGCTGGAAGATATTGCTGGCGGCTTGCATACTGGAGCGCGCGATGTTGAGGCGATGATCCATGCTGCCACCTACCTGATCGCCCTGTCCTCCGCGGCACTGAGGGCGCTGCGCAAGAACAGGCGGAGGAGGTGGCGGCAACTGCCGCTGCTGTTGGAGCCGCTGGTTCTCGCCCTCCTCGGCGCCGACGATGTCCGCGCCATCTGTCGGCTGCCCAACGGGCTGTCCATCGCTGTTGGAGGTGGCTCTCCGCGTCGCCGTCCCGGGTCGGCTCTGTGACGCTGGGGCCGAAAGAGCTACGCACAGGGGCCGCAGTTGTGACCGTGGTCGCAGTTACCTTAGTGACCTTAGTTGGCTCAGTGCTTTCTGTTGTAGTAATTACCTCAGTCTGACGGTCTGCCATAGTGTAGTACTCGCATTGTACATCCATTACCACAGTCCCCCATAGAAGGCCGTGCATAGTAACGTCGTCCATGTCTTTACTGCCTGCCCCATGGGCCTCCGGGGGCATTGGGCGCCCGCGGGAGCCTCTGCCTTGATCGCGTACGGGGGCGGGCCGGGGGGGAAGGTGAGAAGCGGCGGTCGGGGGGGGAGGTAGTAGCGCCCCCCCCCACCCCTTCCGCTGGTTACTGCATCGCTGCGTAGTAGTCCCAAATACGCATGTCCCTGTAGTGCTTGGCGATGCGCGCTAGGTTGCCCATGGGCCCACCGTGTAGTTGTGCATGTTCTTCAGATCCTGGAATCGTACTAGATCTTGACTAACTTCCACTGCTAAATGTTCCTCTCTCGTCTCTGGCGGCACTGCCGGTGGCCAGCGCGCAGGGCTGGCGCTGTTGGACATCGCGGGGCCTGCAGCAGCTGGGGGCACCTGCGGGCTGCGACGTAGTGCTGGGGCTTCTGGGTGGTCCGATCTCCACGCTTCCTGTTGAGCTGACGCTCGACGGCTCTCTCGGGCCCCGCCTTGCGCCCCCCCCCCCCGACGCGCTCTTCGCCCCTCCCTGGTGGGCGATGGCCGCGATGTTCGCCTGCTTCAACATCGCCGCCTGGGAACCTAGCAGCGCCTGGATCTGGCCCTCGTCGACTTTCTCTTTGTGGGGGGGCGCCCTGAAGCACGGGCTGGCGTCGATGACGAACGTAATATTCGCCGTCCGATCGCTGTCGCCCATGGCCTCCTCGCTCTGATAGGACGGCTGCGCCTTGAACTGCTTGGGCATGTCTGCCATGACTTTCATCCCCCACGCGCCGCTCACCGTCGTCGCGAACTCCTTCAGCGTGACCAGAACTGCTTTCATGTGTTCTGGAAGGGAAGCTGCTTCGTTGATCATCCAGTCGGCCAGGCCTTCCACGCAACTTGCTGCTACGCGCCCATGCGTTGGCCCTAGTTGGTGCGAGGCCGGACTGGGCGGCGTCGTTCGCAAGGCAGACCAGCCAGAAGTCGGATGCGTCGTTGCTCAATTCCCTGGTCGCCGCGCTGTTCTGGAGGGCTAGCTTGTGGAGGGCTTTCATCTTGTCTCTGTGTTCCGCTGTCAATCCGCTGCCCCCTCCTCCTCCAGGGGGGGTGCTGCCGCTGCTGCCCTTGCCCTGTCCCGGGATCGCCGTCTTGGCATCTCGGACTGCTGCTCCTCAGTCTGGTCCTCCTGCTCCTCGCTCCCCCTCGATCCGCCAGATCATGCCCTGGCCCCTCATGGCGGAAGGTACTGTGGCGGGTACTGTGTGCTGCTTCGCCTGTGGGCTCTCGGATCTGGTCTGGCCCTGCGAGGTAGCCCCTGACGTGCTGCTGAAACTCCACAAGTCTTTGAGCCTCATGCTTACTTATGTTACATCTAAGCGTGCTGGGTTCCTGCACTTCGTGGGACCATCTGGAGCGATCTTTGTGACAGATGCAGTGATGATGTAACGCTCTTGTGCAGTGGTCCACCGCTGTACCTCGGTTGGCGAAGGCGCTGTAGCAGCATGGTCACCGGTTAGTAACAATTACGGACGCCACTAGCGGTCGCGCGTTGTGCGTCTCTCGGCGATGCCCAGACAGCGCTGCATCGGTAGGAAATCTGTGCCCACATACCCTCTCCCGTCCCTGTTCGTCCTGTGCAATGTGATCACACCAGTACGGTTCGAGTAGTTATCCCTCCTCCTCCTCATTTTGGAACCTCCTCCCTCCTAGTCAGGACGTCAAAATTTCTCTCGTGACTGCGTAATACCCTTGGGTTCGTCTGGAGCCACTTGGAGTGTTCTGGAGTTCCCTTGTGTAGCAAGGCTATATCCGAGCTCCTCGTCTCGAACCACCCCATTCTCTCGTCTAGCTTTGCCAATTCCTGGAGGTCCTTTAAAAAACCGAGGTGTCCAAAAGGTAGAACTATCGTCCGGCCATTTACCGACCTTGAGTCGCTGGCTTCCCTGACTGTCGTCTAACTTTGATGTACCGGGTAATGCAGCCACAGCCGATCCGCGTTCCTTAGGATGTCTCGCCCATTTCTGGTACCATCTAAGCCGTCTGACCCTAAGGGCCACCGCTGTCCTCTCCAACCTCCAGCATCTGAACACCTGAGCGTTATTATTACACCTTACCGTGCCGTCCTCTCTCCCATGCCGGGCCCCCCCCTACCATAGTTCTGAAATGCCTCGCAAGCACACTGTCCAATGCAACTGTGTGGGAACGCCTGAGTGTAAAAGGGGTAAGACCGCTAAGCACTTCTCCTGATACGAATGCCATGAACATCATAAGTTTGATCTGTCGTGGTGTTTCAGATGTCCAGAAGATGCCACACTGTCTCCACGGAGCCCGTAGTGCTGCGATGCATCAACTTACTTCGCCAGCTAGACATTGGCCTGCTGGTAGGTGTGGCCCTAATACCCTCATTTCCCTTAGAGCTGTCCCCTGGAGTGTTTTGCTTCGTCGGAAATGCCTGGTAGCCGATCGGCCTCCTGGTCCTACCAGGTGTACCAAGTGTTTGGTTGTTCCATTGTTGAGACCCCAACCCTCTTTGGCAGTGGTGGTGGCCAGCTTTGTCGTGGTTGTGTTCAGTTCCTCCTCGATGCCCTTGGGGTGTAGGCCTGCTGTAAGAGGTTGCGTGTTCTTGTGATGTCGTCCATAATTGTGTTGATGGCAAGGTCGTATGTTGCTCCGTCTGTGGGGTTAATGGTGTCCGTCTCTCGACTCTCTGTGTTGTCCGCCTCTCGACGCGGACTCCCCGGGCCGAGAGCGACGAGGCGCCTCTCCACGACGAGGCCCGACGCCGAGGAGAAGCACCGGGCAGGGTCGCCCAAATGCGCGGCTTCCCCCGTGGCCGTGGGCGACCCGAGGAGCAGGAGGAGAAAGAGGAGGAGGAGGAGGAGGAGGAGGAGAGAAAGAGGAGGAGGAGGAGGAGGAGGACGGGTCGCCTAAGCCCTTCGGAGAAACCCTCCACGCCCAGGTCTCGACTGCGACCGGCCCTCCTCAGCTCGGCGGGCGCGCCCCCCGGGGACGCACTCCCGGACCCCCTCGAGTCGAGAAAGCATCACGACGGGAGGTGCTTCGCTCTCTTCGGCCTCGGGGGCCTCGGGAGCGTGAACAAAAGGACTCTCAGGATGAAGAACTTGGCCCCGGGAACGGGTCGAGACCTCTGGGGGTCGACGTCGGGACAAAAATCACGACGTCAAGGGGTCTGTGCTCGGAGCTCCTCGGGCAGGAGGGCCCAGAATCGGATCGAGCAGTCGCATCGGCCATCGAAGGGAATCGGATCGGCGGAACTCTGCAGCCGAGTCGGGAGAAGTCGAGTCGGCGGACACCAGCAGGCTAGTCTGGCTCCAATGAGAAATCGGACCCGAATCGGAATCCCAAGTAGAATCGCATTGAAATCGGAAGCCATCGAAATCGAATCGGATCGAATCGGGGGAGTCCAAATGAGCCCTTTGAGTATACCCCAGCGCTTCGTTGGCCCTGTCAGAGACAGGGCCGCTTCTTTGTCGCTTCCGTTTTCATTGCCGTTTCTGCTGCTGGTTCTGGGCCTCCTCCTCCTCCTCCCTCCTTTCCTCCTCCTCCTCCTCCTCCTCCTCCTCCTCCGACCTGCCTGCGCGCCCAGGGACGCACTCGAAGCTCCTCGGGGAGGTATAACCTAGCACTTCGTTCTATGTCGGGCATATCCTCCCACAGGCGGGTTTTGGAACAGAAACAATAGCCACACAAGAATCGCAAATAGTCAAACATACTCGAAAGCTCGTCCCCAGACTACGGTGGTCAGGTCAGGTCAGAACCCTGCTTAGACAGAACATCGGTTGCAGTGCACGGCTGCTGCATTCCAGAACAGCCAGACTACGGTGGGGGCATTGGATAAGGAACCCTTACAGAAGGAATCCAGGGTCAGGGTCTGGAGGCTGGTGGAACCACAATCCACGCTTGGCCGTGGAAATCACCGCCGCCCTCGCCAGATTAGAAATCCTCCAGGGTCTGCGGCCTCCTGGGCGTATTCCTTAACCAACGTCCCCACCGTATTTCTTGACGTTATGCTGGACAATTCTTCTTGTAGAGGGACATGCCCGAATTGAACTTTGTTGGCCCTGGAAGCAACAGGGTCGCTTCTGTGTCGCTTCCGCTCTGCCGCTTCTGCTGCTGCCTCTGGGCCGTGGTCTCCCGCTTCCGCCACCGTTGTGCTCCCAGCCCCTCTTCCGGCTTCCGTCCCGGAGCCGAGTGGTCGCCGCTGCCCGACGCCGCTCCTGCACTTCCCCGCCTTCGCTCTCGAGAGGACGCTGCTCCGAGGAACCTCCTGACGACACGACCCCTGCCCCTGCCGCGACCCGCCAGCAGCCCCCGGCATGCCCGCGGCCGCCCCGTCGCCGGCAGGCCTCCCGGCATAGACGTTGACCCGCACCATGTCGGCGGCCATGGCCCCCGCGGCGGCGAGCGCGCCCGCGGCCGCGCCGGCCCGAGGCCCCTCGAGGGAGGGGCCGCGCGCACCTCGGCAGGGGGCCCTCCGAGGGCGCCCCGGGAGGCGCCCTCGGAGGGCCCGCCGAGGGCCCCCGGAGGGCCCCTCGGAGGGCGCCTCTCGGGCCGCCGCGCGCCGGCCGCGCGCGCGCGCGGCGCGCGGGGGGGGCGTCGCGCCGGCTGGCGTCCGCGGCAGGGAAGGGGAGAGGTCGGCTGCACCACGCAGGCGTGGGCCCGGGGGAGGAGCGGCCTCTGGGTGCGCGGCTTTCGGGTGGGCGCTCTGGGGGGGGGCTGATGGTGGCGATGATGGTGGTGCTGCTGCTGCTGATGCTGATCATGTTGATGATGCTGATGCTGATGATGATGCTGATGGTGATGGTGATGATGATGCTGTTGATGATGCTGCTGCTGATGATGATGGTGGTGATGATCATGCTGATGATGATGCTGATGGTGATGCTGATGGTGATGGTGATGGTGCTGCTGCTGATGATGCTGTTGATGATGTTGATGGTGCTGATGATCACGATGGTGCTGCTGATGATTGTGGTGGTGGTGTCGATGACGGTGCTGATGATGATGATGATGATGATGATGATGATGATGATGATGATGATGATGATGATCGACCGTATCTTGGGTGCTGCTGATGATGATGATGCTGATGATGCTGGTGATGATGATGATGATGATGATGATGATGATGATGATGATGATGGCGATGGTGATGATGACGATGATCATGGTGATGGTGATGGTGGTGACGCCGATGACGATGATGTTGACCCTGGTAATGATGACGATGGTGATGTTGAGGATGAAAATGACGATGATATTGGCGATGATGATGATGATGATGATGATGATGATGATGATGCTGATGCTGATGATGACGATGGTGATGACGATGGTGATGATGATGATGATGATGATGATGATGATGATGATGATGATGATGATGATGATGATGATGGTGATGATGATGATGATGATGGTGATGATGATGATGATGAAGATGCTGCTGATGCTGATGCTGATGCCAAGAGGAGGGCCGTCCAAGAGGGGGTGGGGCGCAAATCATGGCCGGCGGCATGTGCGCAGCCCAGGGGTGGGGGGTGGGGACGCGTTGACATGAGAACAGGCGCCATGAAATCTGGGCAGATCTCATGGCCCCCCGCCATGATACACCCCCCCTTTTTTCTCGTGGGCTTCGCGGAATCGCCTGTATACTGTGGCTCCAACAGGCTCGGAACCTGTGTATAGCTGTTACCGGTCCTCCGGACTGGAGCCCCCCGACTTCCGCAGGACCAGCGAAACCCGACCCAACTCCGGGGCGCCCTGGAGGCAAGCAGGGGGTCTCTGGGCACGGGTCCCCACCGCACCCAAGACGACGAGCATCCCGCCCCCGACCCTGCAGGAGGCCGGGAGCGCTCGTGCCAGCCCGCGCGAGCGCGTCCCCCGCTCCGCGGCGGCGAGCGCCCCAAAGGCCGGAGCCCGCCGCTCGTGCGCGCGCGAAGGGCCCCGCCGCGCGGGGGGCCTCACCGCGCACGGAGCCTCGGGGGACCCCCGCCGCGGTGCCCTCGCGGGCGCGCCCGGGGCTCGCGAGGGCGCGCCCCGACCACCTCTCCCCCTCGTCAAGCCAGCCCTCGGGCCAGATTGACGCTCCACTACCACGGGCGGCAGAGAGGAGGAGGAGGAGGAGGAGGAGGAGGAGGAGGAGGAGGAGGAGGAGGAGGAGGCGGAGGAGGAGGAGGAGGAGGAGGAGGAGGAGGAGGAGGAGGAGGAGCGGCCGAGGAGAGGAGGAGGAGGAGGAGGAGGCGGCCCAGGAGGAGGACTAGGAGGAGGACCCCCCTATCCTCCCTTCTCCCCATTCCTACCCACGGCAGTGGCAGTGGAAGACTTGCCCATAACAGATGTCTCGGGCCCAGGCGGTCGCTCGGAACGCTACGATCAGGTTGGGCATGTCCTCCGACGTGCGGGCTTGGGAGGGAAAAATGCAGAGTGTTCAAAACAGATCCAATGACAGTCCCAAGAGTACGAAACGTCGTCCTCGGACCATTTTCTTGACCGCTCCCCTGGATATCCTCCCTGCAGAGGGACATGCCCGACTCCACGCTGCGCCACGGGGAGGGGGGTTCTCTCTTCCAAATTCGGCCCCCTGGGGGCCCTCGGCGGGTCTCGAGACCGTCCGAAGACAACGCGGGACGAAGAACTGGCCCCCGGGAAGGGGGTCCAGACCTCTGGAGATCGACGTCGCGAACAAAAATCACTACGCCGGGGGTCTGCGAATCAGGAATGGAGGAGGATGAGGAGCAGGAGGAGGAAGAGGAGGAGGAGGAGGAGGAGGAGGAGGAGGAGGAGGAGGAGGAGGAGGAGGAGGTGGAGGTGGAGGAGGAGGGGAGGAGGGGAGGAGGAGGAGGAGGAGGAGCAGGAGGAGGAGGAGGAGGAGGGGAGGAGGAGGAGGAGGGAGGAGGAGGAGGAGAGGAGGAGGAGGAGGAAGAGGAGGAGCAAGAGGAGGAGGAGGAGGAGGAGGAGGAAGCCCCAGTCTTTGCGCGGCATTCTTCGGGCTGGGCCGACCTGCGATGGTCCGGGGGCCCGACACCCTTCCCCGGGACTGGCCCTGGCCTCTTTGGGGGCCCACGCCATGACCACAATGCCAGGCCAGCGGGCGGGCGTCCGGGCAGGGAGGGGCCGCCAGAAAGGACGGCCGGTCGCCGGGTGCCATCACCCTGGCTGCAGGAGGCCGCGTGCACCCTTCCAGGGCCCACGGGGGCTCCAGGAGGGCGTCTGTGGTGTACAATATCGGCCTGACCCGAGGAACGACCTCTCCGGAACGAAGCCCCTGTTCTCCCAAGACCTTCCAGGAAGTCCGAAGGAACACCAGGGGGGCTCGCCGCCTAGAAGGTAGCGGAACGCATGCAAACCAAAGGAGCGACCAAGTGCGTGTCCCTTACTCAAGCAGGACCCTGTACGGCTGCCAGTTTCCGAGATGTGGGAGAAGTTCCTCCATTGCAGCACAGCCAAATGGATGGCACCATGAACGTCAAGCTCCCGATGGACTTGATGACGTTGAACACCTGAATCGCAACGAAGATCAGCCAGGTCGTCAGGAAGAACTGCCACCGACCCTCCTTAGGGAACCAGAAAGTCAAGTGAGCGCATAACACTGCTGGCGTTCGCGAACGGTTTCCCGAAGAGCACCCTCCCAGAACATGATCACCTCCGCAGGCCAAACCATAAGATCACTCGAGGGCTACCCTCCCACACGATGCAGAGGAACATCCAACACACACGAAGAATTCGGGGGTTCCCTCCCCGAGCCGGCCTCGCTCTCATACCTGGGTCCGACCGCACCCTTCAGACATCCAGCCCGGCGGAGACCACGAGGGAGACCACCTGCCGCCGTGCCTACAAGGAGGCGTTTTTTACAAGACGTCGCCCCTTCTGACATTGCGTTCTGGCGGTCTCTCGGCCTCCAGACGGCCAATCTGGTTTTCTCGGCAACTTCGAAGACGGCCACGACGACAACAAAACGGCTCAAGATGGCCGAAGACAGCTCAAGAGCTTCTCAAGACAGCCTCACGACTGCCCAAGGGGCGCCCAAGAGAGCCTCCAGACGGCACCAGATGCCCTCAAAACGTCCCAGAAGGTATCCAAGAGGCCCTCCTGGAGAGCCAGATGAGGGGCTCAAGCCATTGATTTTCCGCAGGTTTGTGAAGGATGTTTAGGTTCTCGCTTGTTCGGGTTTCCGACCACCCAAGACGGCCCGCGAGGCTCCAGGATGCCTCCAAGAGAGCTCCCAGACAGCCCAAGAGGCCCCCAAGAGGGCCCCAAGTCGGCCGAAGAGGACCCAAAGATCGCCCAAAGGGCTCCAAAGAGGGCCTCAAGACTGCCTTGAACCGCCCCAAGAAAGCAACAAGAGGGCCCAGAGAGGCCTCGTGGGCTGTCTTGGATGGTCGGATACCCAAACATGCCAGGACCTCCAAACCCTTCAAAACCTGCAACAAAAATCGATGGTGTTGGCCTCCTCGAGCTCTCCTGGAGGGCGTCTTGAAGACCTCTTGGGCCGCCTTGGAAGCCCAAGATGGCAAAGGATGGCTCAAGATGCCGATTCCGATTCTCTCACGCGTTCTCCCACCTGTTCGGATTTCCGACCGCCCAGGACGGCCCACGACGCCTCCTAGAGGCCCCCAAGATAGCTTCAAGAGACAGCCACGAGGCATCGAAGAGTGCTCGAAATCGGCCCAAGAGGACCCAACGATCGCCCAAAGAGGGCCTCAAGAGGGCCCCAAGACGGCCGCGAAGTGCACCAAGAGAGCACCAAAGCAGCCATGAGAGGCCACCAGGGGACCTCCACAAGCGTCAGACATGCAAAGGGTCCCCTAAGACGGCCCAGGAGGCCCCAAGAGGCCCCATGAGGCCCCCAAGAAGCTGTCAGCCCCAAGAAGCTGTCAGGAAGATCCCAGGAAGCTCCCAAGGAGCCACCCAAAAAGGCCCCAAGAAACCTGCTCCTCATCATCCTCATGTTGTCCCTCTTCTCCTCCTCCTCCTCCGCCTCCTCCTCCTCCTCCTTCTCGTTCCTGCCGCACGGGCCAAGACGAGGTCGGGATCACGACCCGCCCCAATGCAGCCTGCTCGTCGGAGTTGCGCTGCTCCTGCACTCATCCTCCTTCCTGCTGCGATGTTGCACAGGCATGGTAGTGGGGTTTGCCGCAGGCAAACGGAGAAGGGACACTCTAAGGCACACAAAGGAGGCCAGAACATTGTGTGGCATCCTCGTGACACCTGCTCTGTCCCGTCGCGGCCCTATCTGCGTCGAAACCGTGTATATTTTATGTCGGATTCGTCGGATCCGTGTCGAATCCGCGCCTAATCCACTCCAAATCCGCTTCGAGTCTGCATCGAGCCCGCGTCGGGCACACGAAAAGACACAAATTTGGGGGACAGGCGAGGTCCCCCGAA